ATATATATATATATATATAATATTGTAGAGAATAATAGTAACTGTGACTTCACAAGAGTAATTTATGCCATCACATTACCCACTATTGTATGAATTTACATGTGCACGGGCGTACATTCCCAAACTTGAAACTTCTCCATTCAGGAACTTACTGTAAGCACAATAGACACCAAAATGCAGCAGTTGGGGCTTCTGGGTGATGCAAATACAGATGTATTTTACACTGTATGGCCATACGCCTGTATTTGCATCCGTGAGAATAAAGCCTAGGACTTCTGCAATTAGGTTATCTGAACACAGGCATTCACATGCATCTCATAGGATGCAGTTACTGTTCAGCTGATCATTTTTCAGCATGGCCAGCTTTACTTTGTCCACACACATTTCAATTAGGGTTGCCACCTGTTGTAACAATCCTTGGAAATGTCATATATGGATCTCAGCTGCAGATGTGACTGCTGATGAATTTCAGCTGGTGTGCATTAGTAGGAGTCCAGGAATTATTAGATCTTAGCATATACCCCAGAGAGGAAAAAAGTATCAGATTGTAATGTTACGTGAGCCTGTATTACCTCATACCGGACAGGTAACGCATACAGTTTACATACACACACATCCATGAAAGGTTAAATAGTCTATTGGTTTTAGTCAGCTGACTTTCGGGACTCAACCTCTCTCCTTCTATGAACCAGCTATCCACCCACTGGTTTAGCACATATACACTGGTAAAAGAATTGTAAATCAATGCTATTTAAATGGTTAATGCATGTACTTGCATGTGGTTTGTTTACGATGGCCGTCTAATGAAGGTGTCAGCATGAGTCACTGTCCTAGTAAGACCCTGCAGGAATGCTGGTGATGAGTAGCTGGAGGAACAAGCAGAAGCCTTGCAGGGGTTGTAGGGATGTAGTGAGCTGACTTTAAATACTCCAACTGCTTCGTGACAGAGCAGAGAAGGAGGCCAAAACACTGATCGGAGGATAGCGAGTGATTAGGTAAATATAAGGAAATGTTTAGCAGTAGTCACAATTCCAGGATGGAGAGGGTAGTGGAAGTTGAGTTAATCCTGTTAGGAATCAGTAAGGAGTGTGGTGCAGCTGAGTGGGAAGAAATGCTCAGCATCTGCATTAATGCTAGGACACTGAGCAATTCAAATCTACCAGCTTTAGCTGACAGCCTGCTAGAGGAGGGTGGAGCAGAGTGATGCCGAAGGAAAAGGCAGCACTGGACTGCGTTCCTGGAGCGTGGATGGGTGTTGTGTACGGGTTTCATGGCAGCTGAAACCCGGCACAAGATGTCAGGTAGACAGGAGCAACCAAAATTAGGAGAGGGGCTCCAGGCTCCCCACTGGAAGTAGACTCGACTGTGATATTCTACGTTGTAGAAGGTGGTACAGTCTGGCATTCTGACAGTGTCTTGGTGCAGGAAAGGTATTTCAGCTGTTCTTCTTCTTGTATCTCCTTTATCTGTCAGTGTGTGTGGCTGACAGACATACTGTGTACCTCTTGCCTTTTTGCAGCCCTCCAACAGTTTAATTCACTTTGAACAAGACCGATGGCTGCTTTATATTTCCTTACACAGTTTTGCAGCTAAAATATCTGGAAAGGACCCTTTTTTAGATATAACATATTGTAAGTTAGGATTTGTTTTATATTTACTTTCAAGAGGCATTGCAGGAAAAAAGTGAAACAAATTTATTGTAATCCAGCAAATATTGCATCTATGCTAATTCAGAAATCTCAATCATTTCAAGGTAATTGGTCAGTGTATATACCTCAGTTACATTGCTGGTCAGTGTATATACCTCCGTTACATTACTGGTTGCTGTATATACCTCCGTTACATTACCGGTCAGTGTGAATACTTCCATTACATTGCTGGTCACTGTATATACCTCCGTTCCATTACTGGTCACTGTGAATACTTCCGTTACATTGCTGGTCAGTGTGAATACTTCTGTTATATTGCTGGTCAGTGTGAATACTTATGTTACATTGCTGGTCAGTGTGAATACTTCTGTTACATTGGCGGTCAGTGTGAATACCTCCTTTACATTGCTGGTCAGTGTATATACCTCTGTTACATTGCTGATCAGTGTATATACCTCTGTTACATTGCTGATCAGTGTATATACCTCTGTTACATTAGTGGTCACTGAGAATACCTTTGTTACATTGGCGGTCAGTGTAAGGCCTCCTAGCTAATTTTCTCCTCACTCTCTCTCCTGGCTGTCTCTGCTCCCTTCCCCCTGTATATTGTCCAAAACAATTTCTGCGCGACGCTAGAGTGTTTGGGTTTTGCTTGCAGAAAAGGTGGCAACCATAACTTCAATATAATTGTGAAATCTCTGTACAAGTCCTTTTAGATCTACAAACAACCATGTAATGTGAGGGCCTACCTTAGTAAAGGAAGCCCTTGTACTACTCGGATATTGGCAGAGCTAAAGAAAATTGTAGAATTAGACTAACATTTGTACATTGTAGCCCCCTTCCATCTGCATGCTGCCACATGCTAACCCTTGGGCCGGTTGATGTGTGACTGTTCAATCCATGAAGACATCTAAACCAGTAACGGCCTGTTCACACCAGAGGTGTTGGGGCTGCGCTAGCTGCTTTTTTCCAGCGAAGCCTCAACACACAGACGCGGCAGTTTGCCTTGTTTCAATGGTCTAAAAAAGTATTTTGTACTTTTTTTTTTCAGCGCAGCCTGATGCGAAGCGGTACAACCACATTGCACCACACTGTACTGACTGAACTAAATAAAATGTCACTCATAACATTTTAATAAAGTTCTAAAACGTTTAGCAATGCGATGCACCGGGATTGGTGCATGAACATTGTGTCTATCATGGCGTTCAGCTCGGCTTGCTGGTGTGAACGTGCCCTAAAATGACCAGTTATGTCTTGCATTTTCCAGCAATTAGCAATCTGGCTTAAGGTGCCCACACGCCTTGTGATAATCGTACGATAATCGCTGGAAATCCCACAATCGTACGATTATCGCAAGGTGTGTGGAAGGTGTGCGACCGTTTCTACTGTACAGTCGCACCACTTTTATCTTAGGAACATGTTCGAAACCCCGCCGAGAATCGTACGATTGTCGGCGGGTGTGTGGCATGCTCGTAAGATAAATGCCGCAAGCGCACACTGCCCGTTCAGCATTGCGGTCATCGGAAGCCCGCCCCTCAGCGGGGCGGGCTTGCGATTATTGCAAGTACGATCTGCCTGTCCAAGATGGGCAGATCGTACGTTTTTTTAATTACCTTACAACCATCGCAAGACAAAAGTCTTGCGATGGTTGTAAGGTCTGTGGCCAGCTTTAGAAACTGAAGTCAGAAGTCTCGCACCCACTCTGCAGAAACCAAAGCAGCTTTAATTAAATATTGGATTGCCTATAATTAATTGTGTGTATTTTTTTCTGTCTGTTGACACTTTTGATTACAGATGACTACCAGTGCACTGGCAACCTTGAACAGGACTTTACTGAGCTCTGTAGCCGCCTTGGCTATACAGAATGTCCCAGAGTGGTGAACAGACCGCGACTGGCCAGTACACCGGCATCTGAGAAAACTACCTTTGGTGAGCTCTGACTTTACCCAGCAGGTTCCATGCAAGTTAAGGTGCAGCTGCGTCACCTCCTCTTAAGGTGCCCATAAACCTTACAATTATCGTTCGATTTCTTTCACCTTGTCATCGGACCCCGTTTGATTTCTGTTCGAATATACCCCACCAATGTAGATTTTGATTATCGTTCATTAGCAATACTAACTGGCCGAATTTCGTCGATCGACAGAACAGATTTTTGTTTGCGCATGTGCAGTGTTCAAGTTGCGATTTTTTTGGTACAAAAACATCAGTAATCCATTGAATTTCATACGATTCGAAAAAAGTTTTCCAGCCTCACCAATAGAGGAAATTCGGCCAGTTGAACAGTAATTGTGATCGTTCACAACTTCAACTGGCCGATTATTGTACAAAAACCCGATCTTGTTCGATTTACGAACGATAATCGCAAGGTGTTTGGGCACCTTTAGGCTGAGTCTGCATAGATGCAGATGGTCAGCATCTAGGATTCATACTCGGGTGGTGTTCAACATGCAGCAGTAGGTTGATGCAAAACAGCTGACAATCATAATGTACAAAAAAATTTGTACGGAGCTGTTCAGTAGGGATGAGCTTAGATTCAGACCAAAGCCTGTTCGAACTTGTGCTCATCCATAATCTTGAGGTCTCATATTTGCCAGATAGGGTTGGAGCAGACATGCATAAAAGGTGCCCATACACTTTACAACCCAAAAGTCGTACGATCTGCCCATCTTGGACAGGCAGATCGTACATGCGATCATCCCAAGCCCGCCCCCCTGAGGGGCGGGCTTCCGATGACTGCAATGCTGAACGGGCAGTGTGTGCGTGCGCACACCGGCCCGTTCGACAGTTGTCTCTCGATCATGTTAAAAACCAGCCGAAAATCGTACGATTCTCGGCTGGCTTTCCAACATGCTCGAAATACAAAAGTCGTGCGACCGTACAGTAGGAACGGTCACACGCCTTCCATACACTGCACGATTCTCGTACGATCGCGGGATTTCCTGTGATTCTCGTACAAGAATCGTGCAGTAAATGGGCACCTTTAGATTTAGAAGTCAAATGAAGTTTTGTTTTCACTCACAGCCATTTGTTCTATGTAGAAACATTTTTTTAATGGGCTAATTGGGCAGCACAGTGGTGTAGGGATTAGCACTTCTGCCTTACAGCACTGGGGGCCTCTGGTTCAAATCAGGGCCAGGACACTGTGCTTGTGTAAGTTTCCTCCGGGTACTCCCACACACCAAAGACATGCTGGTAGGTTAATTGGCTCCTTTCTAAATTGGCCCTGTATGTATGCATACAGGAACCTTAGATTGTAAGTTCCTTGAGGGCAGGGACCAGTGGCGTAACAATCGCCATAGCGACCTTGGCGGCCGCTATGGGGCCCGTGGCACAGTGGGGCACAGGGTGGCCCGGCCAGATGCCGAGCGGACAGCCTGGGTCACTATGGCATCCTCTGCTGGTGGCTTTTACCAGCGGCTCTGAAGAAGAATGCACTGCTGTTCAGATCACTGACAGTAATCTGTGCAGCAGCGCGTTCATCTCCAGAGCCGCTGCTGAGTCAATGAGAGCCAGTAGCGGCAGTGGAGGAGGCCTGACCCGGCAAGGGAGGAGGCTTGGCCCGTGGTCGACAGCAGGGGAGGAGGCGGGGCCTGGTGACGGAGAACGAGGCGGGGCCCATCAGCGAGCGTGGAGGAAGAGGAGGCAGACAGGTAAGGAGGGCGACCAGCCCACTTGAGGGTGACCCTGCAGAGCCCACCATAGATAATGTATGGTGGGCTCTGCAGGGTCACCCTCAGGTGGGCTGTGTGGGATCTCAAGTGGGCTCTGCAAGGGGTATAACTAGAAATCACAGGGCCCCATACAAAATTTTGCTATGGGGCCCTGTGACTTCTAGTTACGCCCCTGGCAGGGACTGATGTGAATGTGCACTATGTAAAGTTCTGCACAACTTGTTGCGTTATATAAATACCAATAATAAATAATAATGGGTTGGATTAAAAAAAATAAAAGTGCGTTACTATAGGCAGGCAAAAGCACAATCTGTAGACAAGAAGGGTCAGGTTTGCCTGTGGACAGATCATAAAACAGGTCACTAGCATTGATATAGAGGGGACAGGGCCGGTAAAGAGCACAGATCTGGATACAGAGATAGAAGCTGAAAGGTGACACAGGACAAATCATAAAACACATGTGATCAGAAGAACAAAGCCAAAATGCACAAACACATTAGAGCTAGGAGGAGGAGTTAGTACATACTAAACACTGACAGTCAGACTAAGTTCAGACAATGGTCCGGTATTGGCTGGAAAAAGTGGAGACAGTAAGCAGATACAGATAATGGGGAGACAAAACACAGGTAAGAAGACAATGATGGCACAGATCTGAGACATTCATTGTTAACAAGTGATGGCAAAAGTTCAGAAGAAATAGAGTGTGTGACACAAGAATGAGACAATAGAAAGCAGCAGATTGCAGAATCAAATCTGCCCAGAATTATCAGACATAAATGCATAGTTGAAATACATGCGAGCTTCCAAATAATTTGCCATTCTATTCACCCAGGTTTGTGATTCACACATCCTGCATGCCGTAATCATCTTGGTTGTGCAGTGCGGCAGAAATGTGGGAATCAAAAGACCGGAGAAATTGATGAAACTCATGCGACTGGTCTCATTCACAGGTGTGAATTGGGACTTGCCTTGCATTTTGGCTGTGCGGAAGCAAGGCAACAAGTTCTTTTAATGCCCCCCTCCCCAGCAGCATGTTAAACATTTCCTCTCCTCTGCTTTATTCAGCCCTTAGGAATATAGAGTTGCATGTGACCCACCCCTCTTCCTCGTGTGTGCTGTGCCTAGTGCTATAACATGGGGTGGGGAGAGAGTCCTCAGTCCTGTTCCAGCTCTAAAGCATAATTTAAAGCTTGCGCATGGCTTTCGTTCCTCACTCCTGGAACAAAGTTGATAACTATAAGCTGCTGGTGGAGTGAAACTGTTAAAGTGAATCTGTTGCTTTGATGTTTAAAGTTCAACTCTATGCTAAGCCTTATGTACAATTGTATTACCAGCAGATGACACAGCAGACTGGACTTCAGAGATAGACAGCCAGATTGCCCATATCAAAGAACGCTTCTCTTACTTCAAGCCAAGCATCCAAATAGAGGTGGACAATGAAGATGGGAGATCTGTGCGGGAAATCGCTATCAGAGGTGACACTGCCAGTATTCATCTTCTACCCCATTGGTTTTAGATATTGACAGGTTAATTTATGAGACACACAACAATGAATGAAGGTATGCAAGAGTTAAAAAAAAAGACACCCTAATGACAAGAAATTATGTTTCACATATAATCTTAAGCATTTATTATAGGTATAAGGAAACCTATCAAGAGCAAAATATGTGGGATGACCCCCTCCATATGCTAGTTCTCGGTCTGTGATGCTGATAAAACGACGTTATTGCTTTCTGTGCCATTAACCTAGTCCTAGAACAAGCATAGAGAGAAGAAATGTTAACATTTCATGACTGCTGCATACTTGTTCCCGCCCCGGTCTGTGACTCAAAAAGTGTCAAAGCCAGACACCTAGCATTTTCAGGAGGTTGCCAGCAATAGCAGTCCAGCATTGGAGGCAGCAGACTAACTTGGTTACAGGCAGGTTGGAGACTAATTTGGCTAATAAAGAAATAGCAAAGACTTCTTCCATCAATGAACTTGGCCAGTGAGTCGCAGGAGGTGATGGGGCCAAGCATGACTTCAATTTTTGTACTTAATGATTTACATATTAGAGCACCATGCGCCTAATATAGTCAGGCTTCAGGTGCTAGACATTATATAAGTTCTGAATCTGAACCCCCTTTTTTCTGTTTTAACCCCTTAATGATCAGTGACGTCCATAGTACGTCACTGGCATCGGGCCCGTTTAAACACTCTGTTTAAACTTGTAAAGCCGACTGTCGGCTTTACAGTAGAAGCGATTCTGGCGGATCAGCTGCCGCCAGGACGGGTTCTACGGGCCAGTAAACGCCACCCCCAGGCTCCGCTGCCCCTCCTATGAGCCCGGGACCGGCTTCTCTGGTGTCGGTGGGAGGTGATCGGCGAACGTCCGTTCACTGACCATACGAATGAAAAGAATGGACATATAAACTTGAATAGTATATACCAGGGGTCAGCAACCTGCAGCTCCGGAGCCGCATGTGGCTCTTTCATCCCTCTGCTGCGGCTCCCTGTCCAGGGGCGGAACTGGAATATTCGCCAGTGCAGGGTCCCCGCACTGCCGAGGGGCTTCTCAGTAAGGGGGCGGGTCTTGCGACTCACCTGCTCTCCCGGCCGCGTCCCTGGTAACAGGCGGCGGGACAGGAGAAGTGTGTGTCGTAGTCCAGTGCGTTACTAAGCCCACATATACCTATATACATGCTATACCGAGCATAAAGGTAAAAAACAATATATTCAGTGTTATCTTAATTTTAGATGTCAAAAGGGTTTTGTGGCTGCCGGTGTTTTCTTTTCTGTGGAAAACAGGTCCAAGTGGCTCTTTGAGTGTTTAAGGTTGCTGACCCCTGGTATATACTGTACATATCTGCCATGTAAAGTATTTCATTTAGTGACCTGTGCTAGGAAAACTATAACATGGAAACAGCTTATATAGTCAGTAGAGAATCTAGATTTTGAAAATCCATTTTACTTTCTTCCTTTTAATACAGGATGGAAAATTGATGATAAAATGATGGGCATATTCTCAAAATGTTTACCCGCTCTTACCAGTCTCCACAAAATCAGGTGAGGAGAATTTTATGTTCTGGAGGATCCCTTACAGAAGTAGGCAGGCATCCACATCTTTAAAGGGGTTAGATTCCCAACAATAATATTTTAGTTATAGATAGATGCCAGCATTCAAATCACTTACCAAATATATTCAGTATTCAGTCCTTAAAAGTCTAGCAAGCTCCCCCCAAGTGCTTACGTTTACTATACCTATGCAGGTGCGTCTTCCTTTTGAGTAACCGCAACATCCCAGTATGCCTCCTACTCCTTATGGACAACCTGTGTGTCATGTCAGCTTGCAATCCACAGGAAGCACACATCCTTGGGTGACTATGCTGCTGCTTAGAGAGCCTTGTTACCCTAGGACTGAAAATGGAGCAACTGGCAGGATCACAAGGTAAAAAAACAGAAATGGAAGAAAAGGAAAGAATGACACTGCTGGAATGAGTGGAGGATAATCTATTTTATTAACTTTAAAGGTGTATTTATATTTTAAGGAACTCAGCAGTAAAAGTACTGTAACTTAGTTCAAGATTCTACTATAGCTAAGTTCCAAGGTCCCCAGTCTATGAAGGGATTTCCCTGTGCCTGTTGTATTTCCCATTTATGTTCTGGTATGGAGAATGCAGTGGATGAAATAATGATCCATGGTGGAAAGAGACGTGATCTCCAGAGAGAAATATAATTGCTGAAATCCTCAAGAGATACTAGAAAAAAAACGAGGAGACCACTCACAGGAGCATCCATAACGTAAATATATTGGTTTTAGAGGAAGTGACTCCTTAATCAGACAATCTCTATTTGTGTTCTTTCAGTCTGTGGAACGTGGGCCTCACAGATGACACCTTCACCTCTCTCTTCACCATCCTGCAGCGCTGCCCAAGTATCAGGTAAGCAGTGACCAAGTCAAATCTGATTGAAGACAAATCCGTCGAAAATATGGGATTCCATTCATCAAAGTGTCTTTTTGTGCGTAGCAACCAATTAGAATCTTTCTCTCATTTATACACGCTGCATCTAAAAGAGAAATAGGGAAAATCTGATTAGAAGGCAAGAACTGTTCCTCCTTTGCATAGAAGTCCCATCGCAATCCTAACCCATGATCCTCGGGTGGGTGGTGCAGTGACAGACGTAATCAGCAATACAAAAAAAAAAAAATCACATTGAAAAGCAACGTTTCGGGCCAAGTAGGTTTCTTCATCAGGCAAACAAAGTCATCTCCATTTATTTTACAAAAGCTGGGAGACATGGAATGGCAAGCCTCCAACGGGTGCCTCACAGGTTGCCCTTTTAAATGGCAATAAAGTTTTAAGCTTAAAGAAAAAAAAAATCATAACAGAGTTGGATGGCAGCTGGAGACGTTTCTGGGGACACCTGTCTCCCAGGGATAGAGCCCTAAAACAGGGACTGTCCCCAGCAAACTGGGACAAATGGTAACCTTACTATACCATACCATCATGTAACCTGTAAGTTTGTGACTGGATTAGTTATTGACTCAAAATCTTCACAAGGCTTCTTTATTGAAAGAAAAAGGTAATTTAAATCAACAGCTGAGGGTTGTGTAACCATACTCAAACAATAATGCTAAAAGGCCAGATATCGGTTTCTAACAGAAGAGAATAGGTCTCTGTGTTATCGAATCACCTAGGGGCATTGCTAGACCCCAGCACCCATGGCACATGCCCCAGGTCTTTCACGGAGTTCCCCAAATCTTCTACTGAGTGCATCAGGTCTTCCACTTGTGTCTTAGGTCTTCCACTGAGAGCTGCAAGTCTTCTAACCTTTCGTGGCCACGGACATAGCTAGCACATAATTGGCAGAACGGCCCTGTAAACAGACTCCCGGCAACTTTAGCCGCTGGGACTCTGTTTACTTTTGTAAAGCCGGCTGCCCGTTTTACAATAGAAGCTATTCTGGCGACTCAGCTGCCGCCAGATGGATAAGCTATTGAAGTGTGATCTGCAATTTAATAGATTTAAAGTGGAAAGGTGACACTAGGGGTCTTATGGACCCCCAGTATCACCTGAAAAAGGACCTGTCACTGCCAATATGCTATCACTTGGGGGGCTTGTAAGCCCCCCTATGTGATAGCAATTGAAGTGGAAAAAAAACAGTTTTAAAAAATAACAGATTAAAATAAATGTTAAAAAAATGTTAAAGTCCCCCGTGAGCGCATTCACGCAAACACGCGTCGGGTGCGCCTGCGTTCGAAAACGTTCATCCGCTACACATGGGTATCGCCGTGCTTGCCAGAATGAGAGCAATAATTCTAGGGCCAATATTTACGTGCATCTCTAAACTGATGACCTGTAGTGTCTTTTAAAGAACGCACTGCCTCGTATTGCGGCCTTTTTGTGGGGGCGTGGCGGGCCATTGAAGTGAATGGAACCGTAGCCACGCCCTCCGGCTGCAATGCGATCGGCCGCACAGGATCGCAAGGCACATTAGGCCTGCAGTCTGGTCCGATCAAAATGCTGCAAGCACTATTCTGATCGCACCAGACCGGACCGAACTGCAGTCATAATGCGCCTTGCGATCCCGTGCGGCCAATCACATTGCGGCCGGAAGGCGTGGCCACGGTGCCATTCACTTCAACGGCCCTCCTGCCCCACAAAAAAGTGAGCCGGCCGCAATGCGAGGCCGTGCGTTCAGGCCAGAATCGGGCCGGAACGCACAGCATCTGGTGTGAATGTGCCCCTAGATTTACCATTAACTATATGTTGCAAGGGCCGGCTTCATTTGATACAAATTGAATGGATTGTTTATCATATTACATTGCTTTGGCAAATCTAAAGGAGATTTTCAGAGATTGTACAATCTGATTGTATAGTATGTGTTTACATTTAGACTCAGATTTGCTCCAAACCGGTCACCATGGTATCCTATCAGCCCCTTACCATTTTAATCTGTGTGCCTCTGGTTTATTAGGGACCCTAGAAACGCCCCGGGAATCACCAATCAGAACTCATCATGCTTTGTGCCTGTGGCTACTGACACATCATTTTTAGTAATAGAGTCATGTACAGAATGTATTACAAATGTGCATAACGTTTAATGTATGTACTGTATGTCCTACAAATGTTTATTTTTGATTGGTTTACCAGGGTCTTTGCACTGGAAGGTAATCCACTGCCTCAGCAGTCTTATTACAAACTGATCTCAGATGATTTAGCGTAAGTAAAAGTAATTTTTTATACTGCTATCCATCTACAAGTACTGGCTACATATTGATGTCTGGGGAGTAGTTATATAAATGGATCAGCAAAGATAAGCTGTGATGTTACCCACAGACAGTGTACTTTAATATTTTAGCCTGCAGGGGTAGCACAGTATAGGTAAGGCGTATACTATAGTTATATAGCGCCGCTATGTTCTGTACAACTAGATGCTCCTCTATTGCTGGTCATACACAAAGATTCAATGAAGGAATTGTATCTTATAGAAGTCAAATGATCCATGAGTAATTTGATCATTATGATTCCTCTCACTGAAAAGGAACAGTCAGTCGCTCCTGGGGGAAAATTCAACCTTTCACCCCTAGTTGCCACCCTGACAGTGCAGAACTTTCATCTGGGAAGAAAAGCTTTATTCATAGTAATGCCACAGGGAGGACTTGCAATGATCGCAAGTACGATCTGCCTGTCCAAAATGGGCAGGTCGTACAAACTTTTAATCACCTTACAATCATCGCAAAACGAAAGCCTTTTAATTGATTATCTGCTTAGTTTAAATTGATTAAATCAAAACCTGTCACAATGCGGTATTATTCAACATGACAGAGCATATATACAATACATAGTAGACACCTACCCGTGTTATATAGTATTACTCCCTCAGCCAGGGATTCTCGTTGCCTCTGAGACCCGAATGCTGTCACATTGAGAGAACAAAGCAATATGTAAATACTGACTTTTCAGAAAGTCATTATATTAAAGAAGAGAAAGCCTGGAACAATAAACAGTGACGGCAATACATCTGCATTAGACTTTCATTTGTACCACAGTGTGACAGTTGTGATTTAAAAGGAATCTGCCTGGACAGAAATATGGGAACTGCCTTTGCCGAAGTAGTGAAAGTGTCTGAGGTAAATTAAAGTATGCACTGTAGAATAGAAACGCATTGAGATTTTCCACATTACATTGTAGTGAGGGAGCGACTCACCTGATTTTTGGGTTGTGTGAGAATTAACTCCAAACTGTAGAGCATTAAGGACACTTCCACTCACTTAAGTCTTCTTTGCCCACTTTTATTGATTCAAACACTCAAAGGTCCACACAGGTTTTCCCTCGCAGGAGTTTTGCAGCAGAATGTACAGACAGTTCTCTGCAAAGAAAACACAGACTCAGCCTCCTGGCTTTTACTTACAGCATCTGGCCATTTTGACCCACTGGTCCTCTGTCTTTGACTGTCTGTCTGTCTGTCAGACTAGTCCCAACTGTTTCTCTCACAGGTACTTTCTCCAACTTACCACACAGGCTGGTTCTCACTACACAGGGTATTGCAGCACAGGCTGGTTCTCGCCTTACAGGTGTATCGCCACACAGGCTGATTCTCACCACACAGGTGTATTTCCACACAGGCTGGTTCTCACCACACAGGTGTATTTCCACACAGGCTGGTTCTCACCACACAGGTATATTGCACACAGGCTGGTTCTCACCACACAGGTATATTGCACACAGGCTGTATCATACCAGCTTGCCACACAGGCTGGTTCCAGGGTAGAGCCCTCCTGCACAGAGGCCTCTTCTGTCTCCCAGGCGGAACACTGAGCACCAGCCTTTTCATAAGTGTTATGCACAGGTGCACAATCATTGGGTGCTGGTCACTACAAAAATACGGACCCAGGATTGGAGATTTCATCCCTCCCAATTCTCTCAGAAATCTCCTGGTTCCAGGATCCCAACTATAATACAGACAACAAGGAAAGAATTGGAAAGCCAGCCTCTTTCCTGGTAAAAGCACTTTCCTGGCACAGCTCAGTGCCTCTTGCTGGGAGTCCTGGGTGACTCTGATGCCACATTATACCGTGGTATTGCCATGCACTGCCACAGTGGGTACAACCCAACTATATAAACCATTAAAAAAAAAAAGATACATTGCAGCATATTGTTGCTGCATATGTGACTGTACGGGGTTTATTTATAAACAATTCTCCAAGCCATTCGCCCTGTGAATCTCTGTGAAAATTAGTTCTGTGCGCATAGAGGCAAAAATTAACTTTCTTAGGAGATTGTCTATGCAGGTTGAATGCAACATTCAGAAAATACTGCATTATATCAATTAGATGCAGCTGATGTGCATAAGATAAAAAGGATATAACAATGTATAAGTATGGTGGAGCTTCTAAAGTCAAAGCTAAAGCCCAAGCATTACCTTTTCACATCTCAGTGTCCTTCCTTCATGGTGATTGACAGCCTCACTGATCAATAGTGTGCCCAGGAGGGGGGGGTGGTAGAGCTTGACTTTACAAGCTGAAGTTCACATTTGTATATAACTAGGCAAACTATATATTTGGTGCTCTGCATGATGTCTTTAGGTACATGTTGGCAGCGCCTAATGATGGCATTTCATCAATGTTAGCAGTATAATAACTTTATAGAGACATCATGTTGTTTAAATGGAGCAAAAGTTTTGGATTTAGTAGCAGTGCCTAAAAAACAGTCACAGTGGGTCATTTAAGATTTGTGATGGACTCACATCTTCTCACAATGCAGGTTTTCTCACATATCCCTGAGAAATAACAAAATTAATGATGAGGGGGCAAGACTGATCAGCCAAGCTTTACAAAGCCTGAAGATGACCAGCAAAAACCTGGCTTCTCTTGTGCTCAGCTACAATCATATCACAGATAAGGGAGCCAGTGATATTGCACAGGTAAAAAAAAAAACATTTAATAATCATGAATGCAATATTCCTATATACAAGCCCTCGTCGACAGAAGTAGAATCATCTGCTTGTTTCTAATATTTTTAGGCTTTAAGATTCAACCGATCTCTGCTTTCCCTAAATCTTTCGAGCAATCAGATTGATGATGAAGGAGCTTTGGCTTTGGCAGAGGTTGGTACAGATTCAGACCCCACAACTTCTGGAGATGTTCCCGGCTTCACTATGTAATGAGTGTCATGTTTTTGGTTAGGTTCTGGGCCATTTCTCATTAGCACATGCTGAGATTGTAGAGAGGAGACGGCTTTTACTGGAGAAAGCAGCTCAGGAACAGCCAAAATCGGTAAGCATCAATAAATGTATTTTTGTCTCAATGAGGTTATTAATTCCTGGAGAATTCTCAGACTGGATAATGATGTGACCTTTATCATCGCAGCCTCAGCCAGTCACAATAAAGATTTTGCCCCTGATTTAGAAGTAGGAATATGCCAAAATTCTAGCCATCGGTGGCCCTGCAAGCACTACTTGCCTCGACAAAAGTCAACTTGAAGAATTGACTAAACCAGAAACATATTGGCTGAACAGTGACTGCATCCTATGAGATGCAGTTACTGTTCAGGTATTCAGGCAGCTGCAGGTTCCATGCCTGTCTGAATACAATAGCTGGCAGTGGAGATTCCGCCATACACGCTGTTGAGCATGGATGGGGGAATCAGTGAAAAAAATTCCCTCCCCCCAATGTTAATGTCAGCACTTATGATGTTATGATGTCAGCAGTATGTTTCTTAATCCGATCTTCCTCTTCTTTCCTGTAGTTTTCAGCCTTCTCTCCAGCACTGCGGCGGGTCTCCGATCCAGCGCTGACTCCTCTGTCCTTGCTGGCACTTCCGATACCACGCTGTCTGCATGCGGGTGCACGCGTGCATAGACTTTCCTTGCATCTCTGCTCGTCTCCCGGCTGAAAATTCGAACTGCGCATGCGTCCGCCCCAAGATGCTTTGCAGCCGCCCCCAAGCAGTTTCAGATTTTCAGGCGGGTGCGCGCGGCAAAGACGGGGTAAAGTTTAAACCGCTGTTAAATCGTTTTTGTTTTTACTTTTTGCATATATCCAGTGCTTGCTAGCAGTAGATATAGGCAAAAAAAACAGAGGCTTTAAATAGGTAAATATAAGTCCACCATGCATTAACCTGCACAATTATCTTACATTCTTAATGAATGTTCAGGGATACAAAAGAAATAACAAATCTTTTTGTATAAAGGTTTCATTTTAAATTCTGTATCCCTTAATCCTTTAATATTAATAAAAATAGCAAAAAAGAATGTTATGTTATTTCTATTGACTGCTGCAATTCCCCATGTCATTTTTCACAGCCAACAACCTCCCGTCATGCTGATTCCAAAAGTGACAGACCACCCAGCCACCATAGCAGCTCAACTATGGAGAAAGCGGACAAAGCAGACAAAGCCCAGAAGTCCAAACAGAGCATAACAAAGAAGAAAGAGAAGGTACGACATACCCTTCAAAGTTCACATATAGGGACATAAGTAACTGCCACAGTGATTTCCATCATCAAATAATGCCAGTTCAGAGAAGCCTAACTTGGTGCGAAAGGCCAGCTTCCTCTTCCAACTGGGAGGTGAGATAAGAATCTTATCACAGTCTGTACCTATTGGCTTCAGTTGTTTAAAGAGACACTGTTACTTTGGCTAGGCAGGACCAAATAACAATATCTGCAGCTGACTCCTACCACCAGGCTTTTATACTTGACAAACCATGCTCCCTCACTGCCTCCATGCTGCACCATCCCTGCCTGTCTAAGCTCCTATGTTGACTGCTGTCAAAGCTTAGACAGCGAGATGACGTCATGCCCTAATCTCCCCGTGCCACAGTTTGAGATCACATGCTGCCTCAAACCCTTGAGCCCCACACCATTATCAATTGCTCCATCAGTGGAGAGGCAGCGTGGATGCGTGGCTCAGTAATTATGACATGGGAATGGGGTCAAAGTACTCTTCAGTGTTAAAAAAAAAAGAGCTGAAAACCCAGACCTGAGGGCTGACATTAATATCATGCAGCCAATTTCAGTAAGCAGCTGTGAGGAGGAACGCAAAGTCATTTAGAGTAATCGAGCGCAGAAGTCACTATAGTAAAATGTACATTACTGGGTCTACATATAATTTCAAAGCAAAAGTAGAAATGCCCATCCTCTAGACTTCCAATCAAGTGTTGTTACCCAGTGATTTTGGCTGGATCCAAATTTCCCACTTTTACTGGCTATCAATGTCCTGTACAAAGTGAAGAATATTCTATCACAGGATACACAGAAAAAGGAGGAGAAATCAGCTAGCAACATGACGAGTGGAACCTCCACTTCAACTTCCCAAGCTGGTGGATCAAACAAGAAAGACGACCTAAAAACATCAAAAAAACGTAAGTTATGGTAAGAGTTAATGGGGCTGTGACATCTGTAGCTCCTCATGCATTAGATAGTTATATGAGGAACAGAGGAGCTCCATAAACAGGACTTCGTCTAGAAATGCAAGACAATGAACCTAAAATAAAGCTGTTCAAGGGCTGGCACAATGGGGATATCTGGTAAAACTAAAATTGCTTTTGTGCTCCTCTAAAAAGCACAAGCATGTTGTAGAGAGGGACTCTGCTTTTTGTGTGGAAGCAGTAGTCTCTCTGTAGATGTTGGACTTGCTCGCGTACTGAGTCTGAACTAGAGGCCTCCAAATCAGCAGGGAGCATGAGGTCATGTTGGAGAGACTATGGTTTTCATACAGAGAGCAAGGGTCCTTCACTGCAGCACGCTGGAAGGGAATGGATTATTCTGCTCAGGCAGTGGCTGCTTCCTAAAGAGAACCAGCTGTAAGACTATGCGCACATTTATTTTGATGAACCAGATTATTTTGCTCAGGCTTTGGCTGCTTCCTAAAGAGAACCAGCTGTAAAGCTGCCCATACGCCTGACGATTATCGTTTGATAATCGCGGGTGATCCTGCGATCATACGATAATTGTAAGGTGTATGGGCAGCGTGCGACCGCATATACTGTAAGGTCGCACGACTTTCGTCTTCCAAACACGCTACAAAAAGATTTTCGGTGGGTTGGTAGCAAGATCGCAATACGAAAGCCGCACGGCCCGAGGTGCGCAAGCACACACTGCCCATTCACCATTGCAATCATCTGTAAGCGCTCCCCTCAGCAGGGAGGGCTTGTGATGATCGCAAGTACGATCGGCCTGTCCAGGGATTTTTTTTAAATAATGAATTTAAAATGTATTAATTTCCCTTGTTCCTGTTTTTTTTCTTTTCTTCATTTTTTTCCTTTGGAGGGGAGTCTGAATCTGGTGAGGGAAGACCTGATCTAGCCTTTCCCCCTCCCCTTGCAGCTTTGCAGCAGCAGACCATTTCTACTTGTGACTATTGCTGTCTGAAATGAGCCAACAATAGATCACTATAGCAGTGATCAGTTTCTATGGGGGGGGAGGGGTTCATCAGCACTGTCCTAGCCTCTGGACTAAAAGCAAATACTGTGACGTCACATCATTTCCTGTGTAAACACAATGTAGATGCAGTATGTCTTCCATCCCCAATACAGAGCATCCTTACGGAGTACATTATAGTGGGAACGAAAGGCCAAATGCTGATTGATTCAGCTCTCAGAGCCCTGGATCCCCACACCCAAAGCTCATTGGAGATGCCAGAACTCAATGTGCAACCATTTGTGCTCCAGATCTGATTTGAAGTATGGAACACAGCAGTCTGCATGCCATGGAATGCATCTTGGGCACCAGATTCTTAGACACTTGATTTCAGCTTGCTTTGAATGGTTTTCCATAATGTATGATGCTATTACTATATTTCTTGTAGAGTTAGCCAATCCGGAGCAAAAAAACACACGAGGAGAACCTGTTAAATCTGCTACCAGACGTGCTGCTCTACCAGAGCAAGAGGTAAGATGAAGACTCTTTTTAAGGAGAACCTCTAGTGCCAGAAAAGCCAACAATCTATCAGCATTTCCTAGCATTAGGTACCTGCTAGTTTATGAGGAATGTATTTATTCCTTGGCCTTTTCTCTTCTACCACAACTCAATATGATGCCTCTTTCTAGGAAGCAGGAGCTCCCACTTTGTACTGTGGGAGAGCAGGGGGAGCAACCAACCAGATTCTAGCTGTCATTTTCTAGCAGAACTTTGAGGGCAAAAAGCAACAAACTTATTGGTTGCTATATGTAACACTTTTACCTTACCTCCGTTTTATATAAATGACCCTCATTTTGGTATTCGTTTTACTAAATTTCAGCAAACGGAGCCCGCGGAAGTAACAAATCTGTTATTGGAACAAGCAGAATTCCGCGATGGGAAAGTGTTTCTCCCAGGAAACAAAGTTCTTATCAGTTTGAACATCTCACGTGAGTTTTGCACAGTAGAACATCTCGGAGCTTGTAATGCAGCTATTTTAAAACTGGGAAGTCAGCAAATATTTATAATGAGATGCAAGAAGGATAAAGAAAAATTCATTCAAATATTCTCTTCTTGAATGTTAGCTAAAAGCCTGAGATCTCCTCCTTCACACCCTGAACAAGCTTCCAGTATGCTTAGCTCCACCCCCCTGTACAGATGTTCATTGACTCTGAACTGAAAGCTAAGAAGCTGCTGTGTTGGTGGCCTTTTGTTCACTTACATACATACGTACATTTATGTACCTTAAGGCCTCATTCACACTACCGCGCGTACTGTACCATATGCAAATAAATGGCTCCATACACATAGCTGCGTATGGAGCCGTATATTTGGGTAGCGTAAAAATGCGCAAAAACAGAATGGAACCGAGATGCGTCCGGGCAGCGTATTTCTGCGTATTTTACACGCATACGCATGTTTGTGCGTGCGTATAGTTCCTTAGATAATTTCTATTAGGAATGATGCATTCTGGGCATGCAAATAGTGCACGCATATACGCTTGTATAGACGCGTATATACACGCAGTATACAATTTTTCTCTTGCGTTGTGTGTGAATGAGGCCTAAATGTACATATAAAGGTACATTTTTGTTAATAGTTAACATACTTGAATACATTTTTAAGATTTAAGTCCTGAGTTAAGTGTCACTTTAAAATGTTTTGAGTTATAAACATGTGGTTTCAGAGAGTTGTTGCACACTGCATTAGAGTATGCAACAACCCATACAAGGCTATAGAACAGGGGTGCCCATTAGGTAGATCGTGATCTACCAGTTGCTCTCAAAGCTGATGCTGGTAGATTACTAAGGGTGTGAATGGCGGCCCCTTTGGAGCCGACACTCTCCTTCCTTCTGGAGGGTGGCTACTTTTGTTCCCCATGGTCCCTGTGTGTTGTAGCAGTCACCGCTCCAAGCTGATGGACTACAATCACAATACGAGTTAGTGAACTAAACATGAGATTGTAGTCCATGATGACTTTACAACACACACAGGGACCATGAGGAACAAAAGTAGCCACCCTCCAGAAGGAAGGACAGTGTCAGCACCAATTCAGAGATGATTGGAGGATCTACAGCCGAGTGATACACAAATAAGATACGTTTTTGTTTATAGTTAATTTATTTGAATACATTTTTAAGATTTAAGTACTGAGTTTAGTGTAACTTTCAAATGTATTGCGTTATAAACATGTTGTTTCAGAGGGTTGTTGCACACTGCATCACAGTGTGTGCGTAGAACACTTCAACTACCATGGGTGCAAAGAGAATAACTTAGATTTATAATAACCATAAAATAAAAACACTGGGGGGAATTTATTAAAACTGGAGCAGACGGAATCTGGAGCAGTTGCCCACGGCAACCAATCAACTTCTCTTTCATGTGAGAGAGTCCCTTAAAACGAGCCCTGGGGTCGCAGCGCTCCGTTCAGCACGTCCTTAGCCCGCCATGCTCGGCCACGCCCCCTTCTCTTTCATTTTTAAAGCTTAATGGAACAAACTGATAAAGGGAATCTGATTGGTTGTTATGGGCAACTGCAACAGAGTTTGTCTGCTCCAGTTTTGAACAATTTTCTCCATTATATCCTAAGTAATGCAAGTAATCCATCATATTAGTGATCATCAATTATATTAAGTTTCATATTATTCTCTTCAGGCAACAAGATTTCAGAGTTTGGCTTAAAAGGCTTTCTGGCAGCAGTGGAAACCCAGGTGGCGGAGACAAAGCCCATTCCTGGTACCAGGAGCCACACAGGACTGCTGAGGCTGGCTGTGGGGGTGAGAGTCCACACACTGTATAGCTGTGTTGAATAGCTCCCACCTGTTCCTCATTTGGAAGGACTTTCCCTCTTTCTGCCTTATGTATAAACCATTATGAAGATATGTACAACTGAACTAACAAAAGTGGTATACTACACTATACATAACCAATCATTCATATCTTATTAATTCTTTGTGGTCTGTGCAACTGAGAGTGTGGCAGGTTTGTGTCCTTTGCCTACATAGTTTTCTAACAGGAATTCCTCTTTCTCATCTCGAAAACTGGGGAGGTATGGTATTAAATCTTAAAGAGTTCTCAAAGTGGAGCCCAGCTTAAAAAATGAAGGATCTGATAGCTTACAAGGATCTTCTTAAACAATGTTATTTGGCCTACGTAGCATCCAACAAAATTGCTCGAATTGCTCTTAAAAAAAAACAGCAGTGCCCCTCCTGTGCCTACATCCTCATAACTGTATATCTGTAACGCGAGAGGCACTGCAACCCTTACAAGCTTTAAAAGGTGCCCATACACTGCACGATTCTCGTACGAGAATCGCGGGAAATCCCGCGATCATACGAGAATCGTGCAGTGTATGGAAGGCGTGCAACCGTTTCTACTGTGCGGTCGCACATCATCCGTCGAACCAGCAGGCTAGAACACCCGCCGGGAATCGTACGATTCTCGGCAAGTTGGTGGCCTGCTGGTTCGACAACTGCCGAACGGGCCGGTGTGCGCACACTGCCCGTTTGCAGTCAGCGTAAGCCCGCCCCTCACTGCAGTCATCGCAAGCCCGCCCCTCATGGGGGTGGGCTTGCGATGATCGCAAGTACGATCTGCCTGTCCAAGATGGGCAGATCGTACGTTTTTTTAAGTACTTTACAACCCTCGCAAGACAAAAGTCTTGCGAGGGTTGTAAAGTGTATGGGCACCTTTAGAGTGAGATATGGTGATGTCACTACTGTGCAGCTTGCTGGAGGGAAAGCTGTACCTGAGGACCAGTAGTACAAGGTTCCCCCTGCTTCTGCTTTATCCATCCTGTGGATTTGTGCTTTTATAGCCTCTCCTGCTGCTTTTTGAATCTCCATCCAACAGTTATCATACCACCAGTAATTAGAGGGGCATTTATGACAAGGGGAAGCAAAGCCCTACTCATCTACTAAGATGGCTGCCCCACACAGAGACACATTGCAAACCAAGGCATATTAACTCAATGTGGAAAACATCAGCTCCAGGGAGACCAGAGGCAATACCAGTGTCCTCTGCTTGTCTTTACCAAGTACAGCTTCTACAATGAAGGTTACAGGGTTAAAATGTCTTTAAGTGGACCTGTGAGGCTTTAAATATGAGAGCTATCATTGCTAAGATGACTTATGAAGGTGGTGGTTCCAGGATTATCATGCGGACACTGTGAATGTCTAAAATTTCTGATCTCCTGTTGGGTATACATGTTCAAAACCATGAGTCACTAGGACATGAAGCCAAGAACAGTCCTGGAGCCTGTGCCTTTAAAGGTAAGTCTGGAAAGCATGAACTGAGCCAGTACACTTAGCAGTTGGGTGGCAGAGTGTTGAACAGCAGCAGTCACAATAGATGCAGCATTCAGGCCATGGCTGTTTTTTTATTAGTCTATTCACTGCATCCTGATAAAGAAATAAATATTCTTAGGGGCAATACATCCATAGGGTTATTGAAAAGACCAGGTGGCTTCATTTAGGGCCTTTGTTCACTTAAAAAGGGTTCTGCATTCTCATACAAGTCTATGGAGATTCAAAACCCGCTCGAAGCAGGTCAAATGCAGGTAAGGAGTTTAACTGCAGCTCAAATGCACGTCAGTGAAATCTGAATCTCAGAAGCATCTCAAATGGATGTCAAACTGATGCCATTGACACAAGCCCAAAGCCCATCTACTCTGGGCTTCACACCGCTTTCCTCTGAGAAGGGAAAGATTATCTAATATTTCAGAAAATGTTCAGCACTTCCCAATCTCATACAGGTGAAACTCGAATAATTAGAATATCGTGCAAAGTTTATTTATTTCACTAATGCAACTTAAAAGGTGAAACTAATATATGAGATAGACTCATTACATGCAAAGCAAGATAGTTCAAGCCGTGATTTGTCATAATTGTGATGATTATGGCTTACAGCTCATGAAAACCCCAAGAACCCCAAATCCACAACCTCAGAAAAGTGGATTATTACATGCAATCAATAAAACAAGGATTGTACATAGAACAATATCGGACCTCTGAAAAGTACAAGCATGCATATGTACTCAGTACTTGGTTTGGGCCCCTTTTGCAGCAATTACTTTTGCACGATATTCTAATTATTCGAGTTTCACCTGTAAGTGCTCAGCTGTTTACCCCTACTAGGAATACTCTCTCCATTCAAATCTGAAGAACCCATTGCATGTACAGAACTGTGTATAACCACTAGGAAAACACACAGTCCTCCTCATGTATTATGCACCTGACTGGCAGTCTTTGGTGCCCATAAAGGTCAATTTACTTATCCTTTCCTTCCCCCTTTGAAGAATGGGGAACTGAAATGAAGAATCTGATTACTTAGGAAAGCACAAAGTCATTGATAAATGAGGACAAATGTGTCTGAACATTGCAATTGTAAAATTTCCAGCATGCCGACTAGCACAGAATGCTAAAAACTTCCCAGTTAATAGCCATTCTTTATTTCCAGAACAACAACTTTCCTGCTGACTGCCCAACTTTAATCCGACTCCAGGAGATCCTGCTACCACGAGATCCCATACAGAAACCCTTCAAAGCTTCTGAAGAGGAACAACCGATGTGACCAGATCGGAGGCACATGGGGTGTGCACTTGGTGGCCAATCGAATTGGGAGCTTTCACTGGATGTTAGGAACAAGATCTGTGCATACTAAGCCTAAACGGGAACCTGTGCTTCATTTTTGACAAGTGCTGTCTGTCTAAGAGCAGACCCTACAAAATGCCTCATGTTACCTTTATAAACACAGTAAAGCTGCTTCTATGCACCCCTCTTATTTACCAAGGCCTAACTTCCTCTTGCTATCATTACTAGATGCTGACAACTGCCATTCCAGTGTTCAAAGACACTTGCCAGCAAAACTGGAACAGTAGATGAATAAAGATCTCTAGCTAGTAAACCAGGAATAGTAGATGAACAAAGATCTATAGCCCAGAAGTGTTTATTACATCATATGTATCCAAAGTTGTACCTATGAAATAGAACAAAGGGTGTTGTGTTCACTAGCAGTACAGTTACAACTAAAATAACTCCATGCATTGGAAAAGCTACTTGACCCTTGGGAAAGAGTATAAAGAGAATCATTATCGACATTGATTCAACTTGGTACTGCATACCTCCTACATGTTCTGGTTCCAGCAGGACTGTCCTAATATTTAAACAATATATTAGATACTTGCAGCCCCAGGCCATACAGGTGCTGGAGAGCCTGTCACAGTACATTGTGATAGGGATTATTTTCATATTTTTATATTATCAGGAAGCAAGAGGAGTTGTACTGTCGAGGCAATAGAGAACAACAGATACAAGAATTACACCAAGCATACAGAACAAAAGAAGTGCTACTGTACAAAGTTCATATATACAGAATTATAGCCGCTTACAGAACAAAAGAAGTGGCAGTGAGCAATGTTTCCCGTTACAGAATTAAATTACCCTTCCAGGTCATGGGGTAGCTTTTTATTAGTATTAAAAGAAACACATTCACTTTGCCAATTCAGTGCTGTGACATGGATTCCCTGTCTAGCTCTACACCAGCCAACATCAGGACTTAGACAGGTTGGGATGCTGCAGTAGGTAGACTACAAGCAAGCTCAGTATGTATAAAAACCTGGGTGGTGGGCTATCTGTAGGTACTTTCACTTTGCTCTGTCTGGACAGTGACTGTGTCTCTTTACAAACCATTAATGTTTCTCCATCTTTAATTTAGGGACGCAGTAAAGTCTATACCAGTGGTGGCGAACCTTGGCACTCCAGCTGTGCCAAAACTACAAATCCCAATATGCATCTGCCTCTGGGAGTTATGTCTGTGGCTGTCAGAGCCTTGCAATGCCTCATGGGACTTGTAGTTCCAAAACAGCTGGAGTGCCAAGGTTTGCTAACACTGGTCTATACCATGGATTATGCCGCCACCTACAGGAGAATTGACATTGTGCACAAAACAATTTAAGGGGCCAGCCCAAGCAGGCTCCAGGGGTGACCAAATTTATGGGTAACCCGACAGCTCTTTAATTCCTCCTGAAAAGTGATTACCTTAAAAGCAATTGTACCATGTATACCTGCCTGTCTTGAGCGACATAGAAAAGAATTGTGAAAAGGAATTCATTATTGCTTATTCCACAAAGATATTCTATAATGGCTTGGTCAGATTTGTAATCAGTCAGTTAGCCTATTAAAATGTAGAAAAGTAGTCACTCTGGGTTTTGGTATCATCTCTAAGCAGCTGGATGTTTCTGTAACTACAGCTGCAAATATTAATAAGTAGTTTAAGATTCATGGGACCTTAAAGGATCCATGGGTCATTATCTGATTGCACCATCCAATGCTTTTTGAGTGACGGTGGGGCGGGGAAGCGAAGGCAGACTGGAATTTACTAAAATGCATATAGACACCACTACAATGCTTCTGGGAAAATGTCCTTAGGGCAAAACTGGAGCTTTTAGCAAGTTTCCAATCAAGCTTTTAAAAAAAGCTACCTACCAAAGAGAATACCTACTGCGCAACTTGGAAGACCAGTTATGTTTCGGGTTGCTTTGCTACATCTGACCCAGGTGCCTTGATTCTGTGCAGAATGAAATCTCAATACTATCAAGGAATTGTGGTGCTAAACATACTGGCCAGTGTCAGAAAGCTCTGTCTCAGTTGCAGGTCATGGGTCCTCCAAAAAGGATAATAAATCTAAAAGCACCCAAGAGCAGCTAGGAACAAAACATTAGACTATTCTAGAATGGCCTTCGATGAGCTGATCTGAATCCTATTACACAACATCTATGGAAAGAGCTGAAACATGAAGTCTGGAAAAGGAAGCCTTCACACTGGATTCATCTGAAATAGTTTACTGAAGAAGAGTGGGCCAAACTACTGAGAGTTTGCTTATTCACAGCGATACATAATATTTAGTTGCACAACCTTAGGAGGCAAAAGGCCCCAACAATTTTGTCCATGCCATTTTCATATCATTTATAATTTAACCTCCCTGGCGGTATGATTATTCAGGATTTTAGGTACCAAAAGCGGTACATTGTTTTTCAAGCAAATATGTTGTTTTACATTGTAGTTTCCCGAGTGTGGCTCGGGGTTACCGCTCCTAGCTAGGAAATTTAACCCCGAGCCACACTCGGGAATACCGCCAGGGAGGTTAAAATATTCTGCTGAAATCAAAACCCAAGTCTGATGGTTATTAAATATGGAATAAACAATGATGGTTGCCAATTACGTTGGTCAGTTTCAAGTTATTTCAGAGAACATTGGGGGTTCTTCTGTTTTTTTGTGGAAGGATACAACACATTTGTCCACATCTGCCACCCCTACTCAATTTCACTTACCGTACTGTAGGATCTGCTGGATCAAAACTATCAATATTAAATTATTCTTTAATAGGCAGCTACTAGTTTATTCTTGCTGGTTATCTGAATTAATTAAGTCTGTCCAGTCAGCCAATGGGCTCAGGTCATCCCAATTTTTCTGAAACATTGAATATTTCTCTACAATAGCCCTGCTATTGACATTGCAGCGACAACCCTGAACCTTGCTTTCTGCGTGTTATTGCTTTCAGTACTATTCTGTTAAAGCCCAATTCCAGCTCTCCCCTCAATCTGAACCCCTTTTTCCAATTTGTAGCACCACCATACCCATAAAAAAATAAAATAAATAAGTAAAACATTTTTTGTACATACCTATTTTTACAGGTCCTCTTTCTCTGTCCTCAGCCCCAGGGCCGATCCTAAATGTTAAAGATGAATAAATGTCACCAGCACACAACCAGTATTGCAGTCCAAAGAGTTCGTTTATTGGAACATCATGTCACCAAAACCAGCGCTTTCGGGGCCACACAGGGTCCCCTTCATCAGGCTCAGCAATTGTGTGCTGGTGACATTTATTCATCTTTATGCTGTATGGCAGCACCATCCGCAGGTCACTACAAGCACACCCCCCCCCCCCTCTGCGTGTGTGGCATTTGGCGTATGTTCCGAATGCGAAACTTCTGTACATGTGCACGTGTAAACACTGCTACTTGCATTTCCAAATGAGGTTTCTATTTTACAGGGGAGATTCTCTCCACTTTGACATTCAAGGGCTGCTGCAGTGGTGAAGTAAAGAGAGATTGATGTGTAAAAAGTGGTCTGCAATTAGTCATACATGTATGCATTAGAAAGGAACTTTGCAGCTTGCATAACAGGAAGAAAGGTAATGGTGTACTAAGGCTTGTTGTGGACTTTTTAAAGACACTCTGTCATGGGTAACAAAACAAAACTGCTTCAGGTATGAAGTTCAGATGAATAAATGTCACCAGCACACCACCAGTATTGCAGTCCAAAGAGTTTGTTTATTGGAACGTCATATCACCAAAACTAGCGATTTCGGGGATGAAGGGGACCCTGTGTGGCTCCAAAATCTCTAGTTTTGGTGACATGACATTCCAATGAACAAACTCTTTGGACTGCAATACTGGTGGTGTGCTGGTGACATTTATTCATCTTTATACTGTGTGGCGCCACCATCCGCAGGTCACTACAAGCACCCCCCCTCATTCAACTTTGGGTTTTTCCAGTAAGGAGTGCGACAAGGTATCTTTTTGTTTGATCCTAAATGTTACATGCACCCCCGGGGCAAGTTTCCAATACCCTAGGCTCACAGGAAAAGGATTGAATAATGTGCTGTGTCTTTCAGACTGGAGGAGGAGCACCATCTTTAGGGGTCAGTGCTGGAGATAGGGTCTTGGCCAATTCAGACTTGTCATGTTACATTTTTTTATTTGGATGCAGCAAAACTCTTGCATTTTGCTGCCTGCAAGTGAATGTCAAGTAGAAATTCCATTCTTCCCTACGTGTCTAGTTCATATCTAGGTGTTGCTGAATAGTGTGAAAGACAAAAACGGAAACTATGTGCCTAGTCACACCTACACATGTGTTAGTATATGTGATGCAAGCACACAGGACAATGTAAATCTAGCCTTAAAGACACGGAGGCCCTGTAATGTTTTCCCACTTGACTGATGCACTGCTCTGTCGGTATAGTGCCACCATGGAGCTATGCATTTGACAGTTTTGAATTAGCAACATGCTGGCAGCACTGCCAAGGACAAAATATATAGTACATTGTGACTGCAGGAACATGGCGACTGACATCGCTTTTGCTGGAAATCTGTAAACCATTACTGAACCCATCGATCTATAGGCCGATGGGGACTGCCAATTTCTGTAATTGACCATCAATGACAAGGGGTAGTTTATATTGGCCCCCTTATATTGGTGGTCAATTACAGGGAATATCCGATTTCCTTATTAAAAATTGAACCATGCTTTTTTTTGCCTTCCTCTGGATCAACAGGGGGTAATTGTGGGCCTAGCATTCTGTTTAGGCTTCCCCCCTCTATAGGTTAAGCCCGATTGGCGTGTCCTTTTTTTTCAACCTATGTAACTGTGCAAGTCCAGGTCCTGCCCTGGAGCTATGCAGTAACTATTTTAAAGTGCCTTATCCTATTGATCATTTAGCAACCTGTTACATTGGTGGAAGAAAGTGGTTACCTAACTATCTGCTGGTCTAACACTGTTTGCTCATGTGTCAAGATCTGCCAGTGCTGCCACAAGTTACTAGACATGTGCGATTCGTTTCGTTACGAATCGAAATTCGTACGAATTTTCCTGAAATTCGTAAGCATACGAAATCCGAATTGCAGTTTCCGAATTTATATCCGAAATACGAAATTCCGTTACGAATTTCGGATCCGAATTTCTTTGAAACAGGAACTAATATTACCCCTGTAAATGAGGTTGAACAACATGACAAGATTTTTTTTTTTTTAATCCGAAATACGGATCCGCTGCTGCTGAGTTGCATTACAATACACAGGCAGGAAATACGAAATTCCGTTGACGTAGTTTCGTTCCATTACGAACAATCGTTATATTGAAGTTAAAAAGCAAAGTACATTTATATTGGAGTTGATGGTAGTTTTTTTTTTTTTTTAAGTCCGAAATATGAAATTCGGATACGGAATCCGTATTTCGGATAAAAAAAACAAACTACCACATAGACTCCAATATTAACAAAGGTATTTTTGCTTTTTAACTTCATCATAACGAATGTTCGTAAAGTTACAAAAATGTGCCGAAACTAACGAAAATCCGTATTTCGTATGAATCCGAATTGAGTTTCAGATACGAATTACGAAATAATGGATATTAGGAAACGGAACGAAACACATTTTTTGACGGCGCACAAGTCTACAAGTTACTAGAGATGTTGGTGCCATAACTATACAGCACAGCCAGTCAGCAGACTAATCCACCATCTGATTGGATTTTTATTGTTCCAGCAATGAAACTATAGTTACTGCCAACCAGCTTACTTTGATGCATTATAGTTTGTGCCAGATATAAGTGAATATGCTGTCAATTAACTGTGGAGCCTGCTGTGACTTTGTTGAGGACACAATATGCCCTGAGTAGCACAGCAAGGAACAGAGTTATTGATGGAAAAATGTAAAACAGCGATAGCCCCGCCATTCAGACTTGTGGCATTGTCTGCTTAGCAGCCAAATCCACAGACACTGCTAAATACAGCAATCACGTAAGAGGGAGACCAAGCTAGCTCGCAATCTCACTTCCTGGGATTTAGTGTTAAAGCAAACCTTTACCCATTTTCACAAAAAAACTAAATCAGTCTGCTTGCACATATGAAATCATCTTACATGCATTAAACATTGTTCTTTTACTTCCAATTATTGTTTTAACACTTCCTAGTCCTCTTGGGCATTAGTGATGTAACGTGCCCAAGTGTTGCATCCTGGGAAGATAACATCAGCAGAGCATTGCTTGAAAATCTCATCTGTAATCTCACACAAGATATTTTCCTCCCCTGAGATGATGTGCATGGGTGGGTCACATGTACTAGTCACATGTGCCATAGTTCCAGGAAGTAAAGGGAATTACTTTGCCCTTGGTAAGAATGGCCACTGTGAGAAGAATGGAGAGGAAATGAAAAAAAGGTATGCAAAGAATACAAAGCCTGCAATTATCTAGAAGTGTTTGTAGTTTGTCATTACTAAAAACTTTCCTAAAAAGGTGTATTTGTTGTAATTTCAAAAGATAAGAGTAAAGTCCCTCTAAATGTAAATATTGAATAGGATGGAGCCAATATGGGTGCAAGGGCACAACAGACAATGAAATATATGCACATACAACATTTTGCATATAAATGTAAATACATCTAAAGAAATAAAATGTAAAAAAGTTTTAATCACCCATAGGCTACACCACTCACCTGGGCCCACTGCAACATCCAGGAACAAGAGTCAGATATTACTTCAATGACCGATGTAATTTAGGGGGGGGGGGAATTTTTTTTTTACAAAAAACTACACACAAACGTTGCCCAATACAATGAAAAGATCCTCCATTTTATTCCATTGCTTTAAACAGGATGGAACAATACTTTAGTGTTAAAAAGACATCAAGAGGAGAACAAAGAGCAATACACAACGTACCTTTTTTTTCCCAACATTTCAGCAGCACTTAAATAGTTCAGGCATAATATTATACATATGACAGACTTCAACATAAGGGTAAGAGGACAGCCACATTCATCTCTAGCATATTGATACATGCTTTGCCAGTGCAAGCAAACCACTAATGTAAAAAAGAGAAGAAAAGTTCTCCCAACACGACATTCCAATTCAGTGTGAAACTTTATACTGTATACAACAGGGGTGTCCAAACTCCGGCCCTAGTCTTTGGTGGCTACGTGATCCATTATTGCCATTACCATTATGCTTTGGTTTACAAGAATGGCAAAAATCAGACTCTACCCTTACATTCTGTATTTATTCCAAGAGATCAATCAAAATAGAGACGCGACACCTATCGACACTCAAGAACAGAAATGTAATACAAACTTAAGATATGGCGGCTGAATTGGATTTTCTTTGTCACCTGGTGATTGCGCCAGCAGCACTTCCTGTCTTAGGGTGACAACATTCACTCACCGTACTTTGAGGGACAGCATTGTTACCCTAGGACAAGAAGTGTGTAGGAATGCAAAACACTTTCCCCCCCCTCCCCCCCTTTATAACATGGGGAGGTGCTATGTAGTACAGAGAGATGGCTGGGAACAATGCCAGCTGTTGTCAGCACAAGTTATTGGATTTCTGGGAGGAACAGGTTTTTTTTTTCCACATATCATACAGATATAACAACGCTTTCAGGTGGTATATTGAACACACCAAAAAGGAAAACAAAAAGATTATTTTGATTTGCATACATCTTAACTACAGTGTCTGGGTTTAAAGGCATAAGAACCACAGTGCAGAAATGACACAATCCCTAGTTGGAACTTTCAAAGTTTTAGAGCTACAAAATAATTTTGTATTGGATAAAGAGACTGAGTGCCAAGAAAAGGTGTAGGGGTTTAAGGCATCTCTGGTGCAAGTGCAAATCTTTGCTCTACACTTGCTTATATACTGAGCAATCCAAATTCATACAATAATCCAGTGAGGGGTTCTTCTAAAATACAGGCCCAGGCAGAAGGAAAACATCTGAAAATGCCTAGTTGTGATTATAGACATATATGTCATGTCAGTTAAAGCATAACCTTGTCTGTCTGGTTCAAAAAACTTTACCATATATAAAAAGGAGAAGTACATATCTAATGCACTTATCCTTTTCTGCTGCGTGGCATTCATTGTGCGGCCTGCCGGGAACAACACCTGCCCAAAATCTTCAGAAGGCCTCAAAATGCTACCTGTGCATGCGTGTCTCAGACTTCATTCACTTCAATGGAAAGCCCAGCCACAGCATGACAGGCTAATGGATGGCCTTCCCATCATGAGAAGCATGCATGGGTACTTCTTTGCAGAATCATGAAGATCGCAGACAAAGCCTATGTGGTGTTGGACAGGCTACACAGTGAAGGTCTTGGCCAACACTAGTCTACAACCTTGTTCCTCCATTATTTCAGGGGTCCTGAAAAAGAGAATGGCATCAAATGTGCCCTTAGCCTTTACCAAGACCTTGCTCTGAAATAAACAAAAGCATGTTAATATGGACTGAGTAACAAAACATCTAATTCTAGGAATTAAATGGCATCAAATTTTGAACATACGGGTGAGGTGACGTGAACACCGAAGGTCCTGAATTCTGCAACAAACATTTGCTTAAACAAGAGAATATTAGTGTTTCCACAGTAGGCAAATGCTGGCTCATAAAACGTGGGCATTGGAATAGTAAACTCACCAATTGGAATGAACCAACTTGCTCAGTTCACAAGCAAGACAAATTTTAAACCTTTTAAGTAAGAAACCAAAATTTTCTTGTGTATAAAAAAAAAAATAAAAAATCCAAACAAAACATTTTCATCAAAAACAATATTTATCTACATTATCTTTAAAAACTAAATAAGGAGAAAAAAATAAAATAAAAATTGGGAGACTCCAATCCACCAGAAAATCAATTTCTGTACACATATGTAGTCTTCTTTTTAAATGCTGCCAGCCCACACTGGCTATTGGCTGTGTGCATCTAAGTCTTATGTGCAGTAGAGCACAGTATGGAGTGTTGAAGTAGTCTATAACCTAGGTCAGAGCTCACTTGGGTGGGGGCATGGACCACTCACACAGGTTTGGTGGTGCGATTATATACAAGGTGCTCCGTGTCTTCAGTAGTGGAGACGACGGTGCTGTTCACAGTAGGCTGCCGTCTACTACTACTACTATTCTTCTTCTTCTTCTTCAGATAACAGTATCCAATCACAGCTAGTACAACCAGAATACAGATCCCCAGAAACACTGCAACACCCACTTCAACAGAACCTAAGGGGAAAACACCCACAATATATATATATTAGCTTGACACCCACTTAGACACAGAATACCATACATTTTAGACACACTAAGTTTGATCCATCACTTTAGGAAAGACTATATTTAGAATGATTTGAAATCATGCAAGTGCTTTAAGAGAGAGAATAAGCTGCAACAGCGAAACAGTGTTCTTAATGCCCTAGCCCAGGTCATAATGTACGGATTTAAGAAAGTCTCTGAACCCGGACATTTTGTTTGTGGTCAGTTTACTTGGATTACTGAATTTTGAAGTGGCGCTCTTAGGAGCAGGCAATGGCGTTGGGATGGAGGTGGGCTGGTCTTTCTAGAGTTGCCCTTACACGTAAATAAACTTTTTTGTATTTTAATGAATATAGGACTAGTAGTGTTCAGCCAATACATCATTCCTAAATGAATAGTGCAGTTACAGGGTGACCCATAGACTGGTAATGTTCAGCCAATGTATCCTTGCTAAAAAGTAGTAGTCTATGGGTTACCCTGTAACTGTACTAGTCAGTGTCCAGAAATGTATCATTGCTATCCGACTAGTGCAGTTGCAGGGTAACCCACACCTCAGCTCATACACAAACTGGTGTCTTCTCTTTTTCCCTCACCTGTCCCACATATACTGTCATTATGGATACATGAGGACAATTCATGCAGTTTTGTGTTCCAAAAGCACAGTTTATTGGATATCCCCTGTTTCAAACAGCGTAATAGTATTCAGAAGCATCAGCATGATGTAAATTCATTAATGTGTCTTTAAGCACTTTCTTCACTAGTCAACTTTCAATGGGATACTGTGAAGTCTCCATAATTTGCTGGGATAGGAAGGGTCTAATATACAATTACTAAAGCAAGAAAAGCGCCATGTAAATTTGACAGTACAACTTCTATTAAACTGATGACAGATTTTAAAGATTACAACTACTGTACATTAGTATAAATGTCACAGCATATGATATTTTCTGGGGGTGAGGTTCACTGATATGTACTATATATTGATATTGTACCATACAGATGTGTTACACTCTGATAACACAAAGATCTAATGTATTCTCATGAATTTTGGATTAAGCATTCGACATAACACAAGCACCACTGGGCCTGGTGTGAAGACGACCATTCATGGGATCCTCTGTTGATAATACTAAAGGGGCTGCACGACATTAATGTGTGCATTGCTATCAAACTCTGCACACAACAGCAGGCAAGGTCAGCAGAGGCATGGGAGTTGTTAGTAGCCCATGCTCTATGCAAAGCACTGCCAATGTTAAATACATGAAAAATAATAATAGGTACAATACAATATTTAAAGCCCATCTCCAGGGCAAAAAAAAAAAAAAAACTCTCCTTGCAATGGGGCTACCCCACACTGCAAGGGTTAACTGCTTGTTAATGCCAGGGGGACCAGTGTAGAGAACTTGCTTCCCTGCGCTCCCGGCAGTCAATCCTCCTCACTCCCTCTTGTGGCCTATCCCTAGGTGTCCTCATGTATATTACAGATATATGGGCCCTGCATGGGACGCAAAGACAGCAACAGGCCTCTGACCACCAGAGTGGAGAGAGGAAGAGGCTGCGGGAACCAAGGTTAGAGGCAGGTAAATAAAAGTCCTTTACACAGGTTTCTTACACATTAGTAACAGTGAACCCTTGCAGTGTAGGGGTAGCGCCACCTACAAGGAGTTTCTTGGAAATGGCCTTTAATAGACAAAGCCATAGCAAGGAATGCACATAAGACATTTGTGGTTGTCAATGTACAACTATGTACTTATAGCTCACCTGAACCGCCTTCATCTTCTTGAGCACTCCGGTCTCCCATTTTTGTATCAAAAATATCGTTCTCTAAGAAATTAAGATCAGGTTACATTAGATTAGACAAGGAAGGTATGTTGACACACAAACACAAAGCTGGAGCTGCACAGACTGCAATACTGTCCAGCCTTAGGAAAGTCAATTAATGTCTCTGTATAGGAGATACAGGTTTAAACTTTAGGAGGTGGTGCTTTTTTTGCATGGCAGTGAAAATGGCAACAAAACCGTACAAAAAGTGGAGTCATCATGGACACTTCCGTCCAAACTTATTATGGTGCATTTTGCATTTGAGAGATTTGCTATACATTACCTTTGAACTTCGAACACCATTTCCAAAATGGCCAACTGCTGTCGCCATACATTCATAGCATAGTAACCATACAGAAAACTGTACTGTGCAGAGTAATATGAAAAGGGTATTTCTCCATCATCCATACTGGATGTATAAACTGCCATGGGTTATATAGCGACACCTTCAGGTAGAATGGATACTAGTCAAAATAAACCGTAGGCTAGCACCCAAGGCCTATAAATCCTGTCACACTAGCTTTTGTTATAGTTCCACAGATCCTGTCCTCACTGCAAAAAGGGTCATGGTGACAATCAGTGCTAATCCAGGCTACAAACGTAGCTTTTTCTGACTACTTTATTGTTGCTCATGTCCTGAGGAAGGGGGGAGACTAATTCCTCCAAAATGCGTTGGATGTACCTGACATTTCCATTCAAACAACTTAGACAAACCCTGAGGCGATTTGACTTTTTTTAATGGGTATTGCTTTTGGACTTTCCATGGTAGTTTATTGAATCTTGTGTCCCTCGATGGATAATAGAGAAAAAGGGATTTTTGTACTTGCTGTAAAATCCCTTTCTTTGACTCAAATGCAGGTCATCACTGTGCTGAAGTGCTTTTTGTTATGCTTGTTATGTCAATAATAAAAACAAATCAACCTCTAATAAATAAAAACTCCCATTTCCCCTCAACATAACAGACCTTATTACACATGGGAGGCTGTTCCATCAGTTGACTTCTAGCACCGTGAAGTTAGTTGTTTTCAGAGCCCTCTTACAACCAGCCCCAAGATGGCTTCAGACTTCAGGGAAAAAACAAGTAGTGGGGGCTGCTATTAGTAGTGACCTTTGCCACCTGTACTAGAGTGATTGGGGGCTTGCCACGTCAGCCTTAACTGCACGGCCAGCTTACCTTGATTGGCTGTGATGCACTCATGTTAGGAGTGGGAGGTATGCCATATTGGGGCTGATTTTTCTTGGTCAACCTTTATAGAGCTATATTTAAAGATAATAGGTGGGCCAACTACCCAGAAGAACAAATTTAGTTGCAGAATATGGCATTTTTTTAAGGCCATGGATGCCAAGTGTGTTTAAAGTGAAACTGTTCATTGAGGTGCCTGCAAGTACATTTCTTTATCCTCATATCACACGGTGAATGCCCCAATTTCTACTCAGTCCAATGTGAGCCTCTGGTGGCTACTGGTCATCATTGTTTTCCTCATATAAACTCACCAGAGACTCCTTTGCAGAATTCTTCACAATCCGTTTCATGCATAAAGTTATTTCCATTTCCCTGACATCCTCCATAAGTAAAGCCCATGCACTTCATGGCGACAGGATCATAATACCAGCGGGAAAAAGCAGCTCGACATGAACCAGTCTCTGGCAACTCTACACATCGGGCTGTAGGAGGATAGAAATAGATTAAAAAGTGCTGTCTTTACATGCTTATCAAAAGCCACACAAAGTGACACTAGATGAATTGTGTACTGCGTTAAAATACACCAAAGTGTTTTTGGTATATTAAATAAGTGCAAATAGCTGTTCATCCCGACAACTGACAACTTCTTGTGCTCTGTGCCTCTGAAATGTTATCAGTTGTCAATTCTTTGTGAACTACAATACAGCTGTAGTCCACGTAATCAGTTGTCATCTCAGTGGGCTACAATACAAGCATCCTTATGTTAGGATGAAAAAGGAGAAGGGGGAAGTGCTCTGTAGTCCTAACAATTTCCTGTCCAAGGGTGAGCACATCTTCTGATGCACTCATTCTAAGCTGCATCATCCTCAAAGGCGGTGCACTGTGAATGGCAATGCGTAGAGAGGGGACAGCACACCACTGGTGTCTGTCATAGTAGTCTTGGTGATCTCAGTGATTGGTAAGAAGTAGAGTGGACTCTGTACTGTCTCTCTAGGGGAGAGAATAGGGAGGCATTTAAAAGGAGAACTATGAGGCGAGTGATTTTCACTTAACCTCATAGTTTGAGCCGACGTGTGACAATGAAACTGTCTCACGACGGCTCAATAGAGCGGGAAGCAAGCGAACACAAAGCGTTGCTCGCTCACTTCTCGATCATGTCCCTGCAAAGAGCCGTGACTGTCACTCACAGCTCCCTGCAGGGATTCCCCCCCTCTCCGATCCTCCAGCGCAAACTGGCGGAACGGACAGGGGAGGGGGGTACAGCTGGCTTTGCCTCTGGATAGGCAGAGCCAGCTGTCAATCACACAGCTGGGTGGATCTCGACAGTAATGTCGGGATCCATCCCGGCTGCGGCGGGCTCAGTATACCACGAGCTGTAGCTTGCAGTATACTGAGCTTTGGGTCACGGGAGGACGCTAGTTTGTGTCCTCCCATGGCCCATAATGGAAAGCTATGGGGAAAAACACTTACCATATAGTTCTCCTTTAAACAAGTTTCCAGCAAGAATGCTTACCAATAGCTTAATGTTTGCACAAATATCAAATACATACCTTTACTATTGGGGACTTCCAATTCCTGCAGTTTCTTAAAATCTCTATCATCTAGAAATAAAAAAAAATATATATAAAAAAAAAGTTGACTACTAAAATCGCAAGTAAATGGTCATTCCTTTAGACACCGTTCACATTGAGCGGTTCGCAAATCGCGCGATTTTGCGCGATGTCGCGCAAATGCTTGCATCGCAGCTAAATCCGCTCCAAAAAAGGGTCCTGCTGTAGCGACACACGACAGCAGGACCCTTTGCCCCATTGAAGCATTGGAGAGCGATATCGCACGGTAAATTGCCGCGATATCGCCGGAATTACCGCGCGATAAAATCACTCAATGTGAACGGGGTCTTACTCTTCCCTTTCCCGCCAGGACAGCAACAGACCTACATACAGTAGCTTTGCACAATGGACTGAATAGACCATGGGTCTCCTTGTGTAATTTCTCATTGTTAAAAGGAAGCAAAAAGATATTCACCAATGAACAATCTTTGCAGTTATCAAAGACAATGCGGAATAAGTTCACAGAAATTTAACACTATTAAATTTAAAATAACATTCACATAATAAAAAGGGATCACCTATTATCAGGGAGAAAAAGTGGTCAGGTATAAGAGTGTAGCTCTCCAATACAGACATTTTATCCTTGATGCTCTGAAGGAATATTCTGCATCTGTATTGCTTACTGATGTTTTATACCAAGACGACTTGGTATAAAACCAAAGGGTAGTATTTTCGTAAGCTTCTGTATCTGGAGGTAAAATTGTGGATAAGAACTACATGGGAAGGAACAATGCTACATGGGAAGGAACAATCTTTTTGGAATCTGAAAAATGAAGCAGTGTGTGAGAGATGTTGTAGATAGAGCCTATAGTGAACAGGTTTTGTCTGAGGAATTGAGTGGAGATCCACCAGGAGAAGCTGTATACTGAAGTTGTGCCTGAGGCTTATACGAAGACTGAACAGTGAGCCGAATCTTACTACATGAAGGAAATCCATCAGGAGAACCTGTATACTGAAGTTGTGCCCTAGGCTCATACAGAGAATGAACAGTGTGTTGACCGATACCAGATAAAGAAGATCCACCAGGACAACCTGTATACTGAAGTTGTGTCTGAGGATCATAAAGAGCGTAAACTGTATGTTGACTGTTACAACATGAAGCAAACAGACTGATCACTTGATGGAGCTGCAACTGCAAACTAAAGCCTAACTTCAAGCTAAACAAACAGAGGAAATACATATACAGGCGCGGTTTTACCTACCAAAGCATTTGTACATCTATCCATCCCAAAGATTTTTACAATCCTGCCACATAGCTCAGCCCAATCTGTCAGGGCAGGAGACCCGACTTCTCTGTTGAACTTCAGTAATATTTTTAGGCCTCGTCCCCACCCCATTCTGTGACTGCAGTGAAAGTAGAAGTAGTACACAGGAGAGCTCATCTCTCTGCCATTGCTTCCTATCAGCATGATTCTTGCACTGCAGCACAACTGATTGGCTCCTTTTACTGCTTCTACCTCTCCCAGCTGTGCTGTACAGGGACTAAAAGAGACGGACCCCAAGCAAAAGTCAAGTACTTAGTGTTTGCATTTAAAAATACATTTAGGGATGCATTCATGAATGCAGAGCCGCCTTAATTTTGGTCTTTTATATCTTCCCTGAGCTCAGCTTCAAGGGAAGCTGTTTTCGATGGCTTGAATACAGTAGTATAAGAAAGATATGGTGCTTACAGTTAATGGAACCCTGTAATAAAAACCAAATGTGGGCTGCCTTTGTTTAACGCTTATTTTTGAAAAGCTAGTTAACCGACTTATGGTTAGGGCTGCACCGATACCGGTATTTCGGTATCGAGTACCGATACTTGCTTCGGTACTCTTTGATACCAAGTACCGATACCGCTGCTTTCGCTTCCATAGAGCCGGTTTCCCAGGCAATCCGATTGCCTAACAAGCTAGCTCCGTGTTGTCTGGCCAGCTTCTGATGTGTTTGGCCAGGCTTTCCAGCCAATCAGCATCGAACCAGCTTCCCAGCCTATCGGGAGGCAGGTCATTACTCGCCGTCTAGCTTCCCGATCGCACGGGAAGCTGGCTCCATGTTCCCCTACGGCACTGCCGGTCAGAGGAAATCTTCCTCTGACTGGAAGTTCCAGTATCAGGGAAGATATAGGAGCATTTGGGCGAGTAAGAGTACTCACCCAAATAATCGGTATCGGCACAGATACTAGTAGCAGTATCAGTGCATACCTAGTTATGGTATTACAATATAATGCTTGAGTTACTGCTCCAAAACTGACGATTGCCAGATACTCAAGAATGCACGTTTATAGCAGATGCCTAACCTTTGCTCAATTAGCATTAGGGAAAAAAAATGTTGTACTGGAGGACTGAGAGAGTCTTCCTATGAACAGCTCACCTATGTGGAGAAGTAAGCCTACAGGACCAACTCTGCTTGGAGTTAAAGCTACCACATCAAATGTGAGAATAAGATTCTCCAGATTTAAAATTAACAGCACCGGGATACCACCTTCACTGAATGCTGTTGTACGATTTAAAGGAGAATTTTATATCTCTGGCTTACCTGCATGGTTTCTAAGCCAAGACTGGTGATTGCAGAGCAACAAAGCAGAGGAAATGTCCAACTCCGTAAAAAACTGATAGATTTAAAATTTCCCATGAGACATACTTACATTTATCACAGGATGCCTCGTCAGAATGATCAGCACAGTCAGGAGTATCGTCACACTCAAAAGCTCCATTAATACAGCAGCCATCAGCACAGCGGAACTGGGTAGGTTGGCAGTGCCCACCACACACTATGTAGACAGAAATACCAGGTAAATACACAAGCATACACATGCATGAACTGCATGAAGACTGACCTTTAACCTACTGTATAACTGATTTGCACTATAGGCTATTGGCTAGAAAGGTCTGAAAAAGAAATTTAAAGAAACGCAGATAAACCCAGATTCCCTTCATTAAAAACAAAAAAAAACACACCACACAAACCACCCACAACATTTATATATATTTCACCCAACCATAAGAACATACAAGTATACATGGGTTTAAATAAAGATCGCATGTCAGGCTTTAAGTACCATATTACCAGTGTATTACCAATGATATTTGATTCCATTCTTCTAGCAGGAAAGCTGTTTAACAAAGTGTAGATGCACTACTAAAGGCGTAATTACACAATGTGCATATGACTTATCCGAACTAAAAATTTCCCTGGATTTGAAGAGGCTGAATTACACTGATGGGACCTTCAAAGCTGCTCCCAGAATAGAGTAGCATGTGAGCATACACTCAACTTCCACATGTAAAAATGTATTTTAGGTGTGTAGTAATGCAGGTTGTTAAGTGCCCTATGTTCAGAGAACCGCATAGGCTCCGAGCTGCCTGTATCTTTGCAGATTTCAATGGCATTCACCTTGACAAATATTGGGAATCTCAGATGGGGATGAGCTGTAGACAGTATCTATAGTACCGGGTGGGCTTGATTAATACTACACTGAAAATCAACCATATTGATCAGTTTTTTGACCAGTGGTTCTCAAAGTGTAGACTACTAGTTGTCCACCAGCATGCCAAAAACGGTCAGTGAGCGGACCTATTCTATACAAGTTCTCCAGTTTGGACACTTGGCATCATGCGAGTGGAGTTCTATGCTGAACTCCCTACAAAACACTGTAAAACACGATAGTGTAACTAGATATACTGCTGTAGTTGGAGTCACTCGTGTGATGGTACTGTCCCAACTGATGTCAGCTTTTTATCTGCATACCTGGTTCAAGTCAGTGACTCTTAAAGTACTAAATCTAGCAGAAAAACATGAAAGTTAGAAAGCAAGTCATTTTAAGAAAAAAAGAAGTTTGGCAATGGCAGCCTCCATACTTTAGTACAGATTTCCTTTAAGTGCTTGGGGAACCTGGGAATTTTGGGTACCACCAAGTTAAACTTGTATAGCCTTATTGATCCTTTCCAGTGTAATAAAGTAATGTGTTGTGAGGAAATATGGGAACTCTATGTACTACTGTATCTGAATACTTTCACTATGGGGCGATGTATGGACTATTTTACAGAATAAATAAGTGGCATCTGGCGGTTGATGTGTCGTTTCAAGGACACCTTTTAGTGTGCCAGGAAGCCTATTGGGGATGTCCATTGAGTACTTTCGCAGACTGGTTCACAGTTTGCTCAGAGACTATCACCTTATGGACTACAAAGAGGTCGAGAGACGTCTGAGAAAATGTCCCCCTCCTCTCCCTTTTGGGTCTTTGTCCTTCAATAAAGCGTCGGGCCTATGAACTCTTTCCCCTCCCTTATCCCTCTTCCCTGCCCCATCACACTCGTTGCTTTTTGAGGGTCAATGTATTTAAGTTTGCCATGTCACGGTGCCATGTATGATGTGCAGAACTGGGGTGTTTTTGCTCTGGCACTGCAAGTCAGGCATTGCGCCGCAATGCATCTTGCAGTGGATCCTTTGGACCACATATTCAGTACGGGCTAAAGCGGAGTGATGAATGACGCGGAGGGCTCAAGACCCGTGTCTTGTGCTACATGTCAGGCATCTCGCCGCTGGGTGAATGTAATTTATTAGCACGATTGTGCTGTATTGCTATGCAGTGTCCACGCGTTGCGTCGTAGTACAGGGTGGAATGTACCCCAAATTTGTATGTTTTTATATTATATAAAGTATACATTTTTCAAATCAGAATACTTTCCAAGTGTTCCTAGTAGTGACAGTTGTTAAAAATCTAGCTTAAAGTGGACATTAAAGTCACAATTATTTTCCTCTCCCCGCCATGCTGCTTTAGGGACTTGCCTTAAATGGATGCCTTTTGATCCGATCATCTTCTTCCTTCCAGTAGTTTTCAGGAGTCCCTCCAGCGTTGGTGCTGGTCTCTGATCCAGCGCTGACTGCTGTGTCTTCCGTGTCCCACAGTGTCTGTCCGATGCTCCCGGCTACGTGCATTAACGTACACTGTCTCTCTTCCTCTCCACACATAAGATCTCTACTGCTCATGCACCCGCCCCATCATCCTTCACGGCCGCTCGAGAAGCTTCAGATCTTCAGACAGAGGTGAGCGGAGGTGACGCAGGTAAGCAATTACCTTTATGGTAATTTTTGTTTTATGTTTTTGCATATATCTACTGCTTGCTAGCAGCAGATATATGCAAGAGTTTAATTATGCTTTAAGACACCAAGTACCCATGGACTCACCAGACAAATTGACACATGCCTGCCTACAATCCTCTTGTTGGACATAGTTGTTCTTGTTTGGTTTGCACCCTCCAAACACAAACTCTTCACAGTCATTCACATCTGAATTGTAATACCATCTCGTAAAGGATCCACGACATCGACCAACTTTTTTAGGAGCAAGACAGTACTCTAAAACCAAACATGAAAAATGCAATTATTTGTTATATCCATTTATATAGTGCAGGAATAGTTCTTTACAGAAATCATAGAACTATTTTCATTAGTCCCCATTTCTTATGGGCCCCACAATCTAAAATAAGTCATATACTAGTAGGACTATATGCATATAGGAGGAAACTGGAGCACAAAGCGAAAATATGCATCTACTGTAAGATCATACAAACATGAAAACGAACACAAACGCTGATAGGAACCAGATCATTGCAAGGCAAGAAAAGGCACCAGGAGGCCAAATAATATTTGATTTAATGGAATGTGATAAACAATGTAGTGTCAACATCACAGCAAATCATGTGATTGTAGGCCACACCCAGATTAGTAAACAAAAAACACCTACAATGTAATAAACATAACTGGCATAATCTGGATGCAAGTGGCAGCAACCCTTTTTTACTGGTTTTAAAGAACAGCATTAAAGATACACACACCATTAACCATTTACATAGAAGATTCATACATTTACATAAAGACAGCTCCCTCCCCAGTATCCATGCCGCAAGTTAGATCTGCAGTCCAGCACACACAGCCCCCTCCCCAGTATCCATGCTGCCAGTTAGATCTGCAGCCCAGCACACACAGCCCCCTCCCCAGTATCCATGCTGCCAGTTAGATCTGCAGTCCAGCACACACAGCCCCCTCCCCAGTTTCCATGCTGCCAGTTAGAGCTGCACGCACAGCTCACACTCATTTGCACGACCAACAGTGGGATCAGCTTATTCTGTAGTACTTTTAACAGCAATGAGATGGCTTGTGCCTCTCTAAGTGTCCCATGCAGTTCAGGGCAGTCTGAGTTACCTACAGTGAACTAAAACTATGTTTTAGTGCATTTAGCATCATGCCTTGCCATATAAATTTTTAGCCACCTCAACACCCAGCAAGAAAGCATTAAAAGATACATTTTTTCTGCAGTTTTGTTTGTGATGGAGCTCTTTAAAGATCTACTTGTACTACCGGACAGTAAGACAATGAGGACACTGACCTTCAGTCTGCTCCTTTGTCAGCACAGTGACTGTGACAGTGGCTGAACTCTGATGGTTGGCAGTATCAGTGACCACCAACTCAAAAATATACATTCCGTTGTGGAGATTGGAAACCTCTACAAACGCTGGTTGATCTGAGTTTTTCTGAAAAGAGAAGAAAGTATATGTAAAAAAAAAAAAATGCATTATGCAGCAAAAGCAATTGCCTTAATAACTACTACCATACTAATGTCTACTATACACACTTATATTTTCTTTAACTTGCAGGCTGAACAAAGGAAATAACAGACTTCCGTATCCACGCTGAGCAGTGTGGATGGACGAATCTGCTGCTGTATGGTCTGTATTATGACAGCAGCCATGGCTCCCCGTCAGAATACCAGAAAGGTGCTTGCAGCCAGTCAGCACCATTCGGCCTAAAATTTTCTAACATGTTCTTTTGGCAAAGGTCGATCTAATGATAGGGTAGACATGGAGCAAATTTTGCCTGATTCCTGCTTAAATCGGCAGAAATTTGCTGTGTGTGTGTACCCTACTTAAAGCTTTGTGATTACTTTAGGTTAACCCACAAT